GCGCGGGACCTGGGGCTGAGCCCGGCGGAGCTGCCGGCGCGCAAGCTCCGGATAGTCTCTGGTGACGAAAAGCAATACTTCACTCTTGGGGAAGATAATAAAAATCTGCGGGTAAACGAGAGGATAGACCGAGAGGGCATCTGCGGGACCTTGTCGCCCTGTGTCCTCAGTTTGGAGGCAGTCGTGGAAAACCCTTTCAATATATTTCATGTAAGCGTCACTATCCAGGATATCAATGACAATGCGCCGCAGTTTGACAGAGAATTTGTTGCCATAGAAATGATCGAGTCCACGCCTCCTGGGGCCAGGTTCCCACTGGGCAGTGGCAGAGACCCCGACATCGGGGCGAACTCATTACAAAACTACCAACTTACCCCCAACCCGCTCTTCTCCCTTGTAATGAGGGAGAGTCCTGATGGGATGAAGCAGCCGGAATTAGTGCTGGAGAAAAGCTTAGATCGAGAAAAACAGAGAAATCACCATTTGATACTGATGGCCATGGATGGCGGGGATCCAGTCCGATCCGGGACGGCCCAGATTAAGATTAACGTGACTGACGCAAATGACAACCTGCCGGTATTCACCAAAGAGATCTACAAGGTTCGACTGCTGGAAAACCTGCCAGAGGGCTCCTTGGCTTTTCAGGTGAAAGCTACTGACGGCGACGAAGGTACAAATGCAGAAATTACCTACTCTTTCAGTGACATCACAAACAGTGCCCGCCAACTCTTCACTCTGGACTCCAGAACAGGGGACGTGAAGGTTACAGGCCCCTTAGATTATGAAGAAGGGAAATATTACGAAGCAACTGTTGAAGGCAAGGACGGGGGCGGGCTTAGTGCACACGCCAAAGTGCACATAGACATTCTAGACGTGAACGACAACGCGCCAACCCTTTCCCTCCTTCCTATCTTAAACCCGATACCGGAAGACTCGGTCCCGAGCACGGTTGTAGCTGTGATCAATGTCCGTGACAGAGACTCGGGGGAAAACGGGGAAGTGACCTGCAACATCGACGGCGATATGCCTTTCAGACTAGAACCGTCATCAGAGAACACCTACAAACTAATAATAGCCAGTGCCCTGGACAGAGAAAAGGTCTCCGCTTACAATATCACCATCAGTGCCGCGGACCGGGGCAGCCCGGCGCTGTCCAGCCGC